AATACGGCTAGCGTCTGACTTCTCAACAGAAACACTGCAAGCCAGAAGAGAATGGCAAGAAATATTCCAAGTCATGAAAAGCAAAGGCCTACAACCAAGACTGCTCTACCCAGCAAAGCTCTCAATTAAAATGGAAGGCAAAATAAGGACTTTCCCAGAAAAAAAAAAAGGCTAAAAGACTACACCTCCACCAAACCAACACTGCAAAATATGCTAAAGGGACTGCTTTAAGATGAAGAAAAAGTTTCTATGAATACCCAGTTCCTTTCAGAGTTGCCAATACTTGATATTACCAGTATTTTTAATACTCATTAATCTGATTATGACAATGATGTTATTTTAATTGTTCCTTTACTATTTGTTGAAACTAAACCTGTTTTAGTATATTTCTTGCCTATTTCTATTATTTTTTTTAAAAAAGCTTTAAATGACTTTTTGGTATTCTTTATCCTTTTATTGATTAAAGGTTTGTAGAACTTTTTTCCCTAAAAAAAAAACAAACCAAGAAACAAAAAATCTATTAACCATGTTTTAGATGTGTTGCAAATAATTTTCTATTCTATTCCTTGTCCTTTAACTTTTTTTATATGTATATTACTATATAGTTAAATGTTTAATATAGTCATATTGTCAATATTTACTTTATAGCTTCTGGGGTTGAATATTTTACTTCAGGTCATGAAAAATATTAGTTATATTTTCTTTGAAAACTCCTTAGATTCTACATATTGATTTTTAACTCACCTGACTATTTCTTGTATAATGTATGAAATAGGGCTCTGTATTTGTTTTATTTCAAGTAATAGTGGTCCATGCACCTTATTTGTTGAATAAGCCTTATTTTACCCATTGATTTGAAATATCAACTTAATCATACATATATTAACCAGATATATATGTTTGTCTCTAGAATGCTCATTATATTTCATTGATCTACTTGATTATTTCTGTGCTGGTGTCATGTTGATTTAATTGCTGAGACTTCATAATGGTTTTAAATTTTTTTAAATATTTTATAATTAACTTTGACATTTAAAAAAAATAAATAAAGTCGATCTACATTTAAGAAAGAAAGAGAGGGAGATGGAACTCCCTACCTTTTGCAAAAACATGGATGGAAGTGGAGAATATTAAGCTAAGTGAAATAAGCCAGTTGATGAAAGACAAATAACATATGGTCTCACGTATAAGTGGACTCTATTCAACAAAGTAAACTAACGAACAGAATAAACCACAGGCACGGAAACATGGAGCAGGCTGAAAGTGACCGGAGGGGAGGGGGAAAGAGGACAATGGTGGAAAGAAGGGGAAGGGACTAGACAAAGAACATGTATGAATGACCCATGGACATGGACAACAGAGTGGGAATTGACTGTGGGAACGAGGGATGGGAGTGGGATGGGTGGAGGGAGCAAAAGGGGAAAAATTGAGACAACTGTAATAGAATAGACATGACTTATAAATAAAAAAATAAAAAGAAAAAAAGTGGTTTACAGAGAATCCCTGAGTGACTAGAACTGGAGCTCCTCAGTTGGCTGCTGAGGAAACAACTGTCTACTTCCGGGACAGAAACACAATGATGATACTCAGGCCGGGACAGAAAGTCTTTCTTCCTCTGTGACCAAGATCAGAGTCACGTTATTTGGCAGAGGCTGACTTTAGAAATAGAAGTAAACCAAGGAATGGGATTGGAAACAATTAAACTTGTCATGAGATAATGATGGTGATGGTGATGCTGAGTTTCTTTTATTGGACACTCACCACGAGCCAGTTGCTCTGCCGGGAGCTCCCCTAACATGCCAGCAACCCCTGGCCCTCTCGCATCTCCCTCTTACAGATGAGGGGGGTGAGAATCAATGGAATTAGTCAGCTCGCCCAAGGTCACGAAGCTAGAAAGTGGCAGAGCTGGGGGTTTGTCATATTTACCAGGCTTGAGTTACAGTGAGTCACAAAACCCACGTCATCCTCCACAGGCATGTATGCACCTTCTGTGTTCTGCCCCCACAGTGGTAGCTTCTGCACAGAAGGCGGCCTGACTGCATGAGCTGTTGTCAGAGGGAGGAGTGTGGGGTGGGGGGAAACAACACCAAGGAAGAGTGAAGGAGGAGCCCCAATCCTCCTCCAGAAGAAAGGAATAAGAAGTTACCTGACCCGCCTTCAATGTCAAGACTGCTCTCAGTGAGTTCTGTCACGTGAACAGAAACTTATTTATAGCAATTCCAGCTCCAGGCATGTGAATTTGAAAGGGAGTATTTTGAAGGTTCCGGGCAAGGAGAGCCCCTGGTGACTGTGAATTACTAGTCCATTCCTCCTCCCCATCCTGTGGATGACACACTCCTCTGCCCCGTCACTTCAGGACCCCCAAAGTAGAAACACCACCAGCATTAACAACAATGACAAAAAAAATCATTGACATTTACAAATAATAAGAAAACCAGCCCCTGGGGGGAGTATGGCTGGATTCTTGCTGTTTCTAGGACTGGAAGCCCAGACTTGGCTCTGTCCCTGTGTTCCTTTTCATCAGCAAAGCTATGACTTTGAGAGGATTAATGTTTGATTTACACAGAAGGATCACTTGGCTGGATCAAAATAAAGAAATTGGAAGTACCCACCTTGCCACAGATTTGTCCTCCTGCCTCTCTATGAACGAAGGGATAAGGAACCAGAGGGAAAAGTTTTTTTCATCATTGCAAACCATTCTATTCCTCATCCTCTTTTGGTAAAGAAATATTTAAGTCACATGCATTCTTGGAGAGAATTTTCAAAAAACATTCAGCCCACAAGAATTCTGTTCATCCCACAGAATCTGCCTGGGTCCTGCAAGCCTTTGCTGAGACGGGCTCCTCCACTTTCAGCCCATCAGCATTTTCTCGTTCCTTTGATATCAGCAGGTTAGAGTAACACAGACATCTGCCGCTCCAGGAAACAGCACGCCAAACCGGGGCACTTACCAAACAGGGGCCCTGATCACAAGCCAGTGTAGAAGAAACAGGAAAAAAAAGGCCCATACTTAGCTAACCTTCACTAAGCTCTCCAGCTAACTCTTTCTGGTGCTTATTTTAATTACTATAGTTAATGTCTAGTATTTTTGAGTTTTGTTGTTTAAATTATTTATTAAAATAAACACTGCCCAGGATTTATTACAATGGCTATCTATCTATATGAAATAGCTTTTGGAAATAAGATTAACTGTGAGATAGGAAAAAAAACCAAAAACATTTTGGGCTGTTCTCCCTTTCCAAGCAAGGCGGTGTTAATCTGCACATTTCTCCTGGGAAGCCAGGTGACCAACTGGCTGCTGTGCGTGAGACTGGAAGCCGGCGCTTCCCCGACAACTCCGTTGTGAAGCACAGTATAACTGACTCTCTGATTTCCAAAGTGGAAAATGTTTGGATACTATCAGGTCGTTTCTATTCCTAGCTTTGTAGCCTAATATTAGGCTTTCCCCCATGACGGGAGGCCCTAGCAAGTCCTTATACATCAAGGAAGGAGATGTGCCCTGACCAATGTGGCTCAGTTGTTTGGGCAAAGCAAAAGGATGCTGGTTCGATTACTGGTCAGGGCACATGCCTAGGTTGTGGGCCAGTCCCCAGTTGGGGCGGGTGCAAGAGGCAGCGGATCAATGATTCTCTCACACCTTTTTTTTTTCTTTCTTTCTCTTTCTTTCTCTTTCTTTCTTTCTTTCTTTTCTTTCTTTCTCTTTCTTTCTCTTTCTTTCTTTCTTTCTTTTCTTTCTTTTTTTTCTTTCTTTCTTTCCTTTCCTTTCCTTTCCTTTCTTTCATTCTCTCTCCCTTCTCCTCTCTCTAAAAATAAATAAAATCTTTAAAAAAAAAAAAAAAAAAGGAAGGAGATGTTTTTCCAATAGAAGTGAAAAAATCCCCAAGAAATCTTTCTCAACCCAGCCAAGAAGGCAGACATGTAAGGCCCAGTTTAGAAACAATAATGTTGGTTTTTACACCACCCTTCTTTACTATGACATGGATAATGTGGCTGCGGAAGGGCAATGGTGAATTCAGCCACTGGCTCTGCTACTCTGGAAATGCTCCGAGGAGTTTTACTCTTTGGGGGTATTTACATTATCAGTTGAAATCCCCATAGTACATGATATTCTTCAGTTTGTTCAATCTCCATACTGAAGGAGAAATATTTCGGAACTAAGTTTTCTTTTCATTTTGTTTTTTAAAAATAAAAAAATTATTTTTGTTTTTACATTTTTATTATTTTGCACTTGGGGATTGTTACTTTCCTCCAAAACAAATGCAATTCAATTAACATTAAATGCTTCGCGCTGGGGGTTTGAATAGAAGTGGTCCTTACTCTCACTGTTCTCAGTGATCAGCAGGAGAAACAGACTCAAAAACAAAACAACTAAATACAATGGGGGGAAATTTTGCATAATTCAAGCTATGGCTGTATAAAGGAGCCGTGAAGTTGGCCCAGGGAAGAGTAGTGAGGCAGGGAAAATGGGAGATGCTACCCAGCTAGTTGTTAGGAGATCAGTAGGGTTTGTCGGGAGAATATCCTGGGAAAGGCACTCCCAGTGGAGGGAACAGCATGTGCTAAAGGCTCACATATGCAAATTCTTCCCCTGTAACTAGGGGGTAATCCAAACGGATAAAGTAGAGTGGAAGTGAGGAGCTATGAAGAGAAAGAGACCAGAAGGAGAAGTTCATACAGTATATTAGGTACTTCCCGAAGAAGGCCATTGCTGGATAAATATTTGACAAAATGCCTCTCGGTATGTTTGTTGTTTGAATTTATGAAAGCCACGACTAATATTATTGATCTAGCATTTGGGGCAAAGGGAAGAGGGAGTGATGCCTAGGTGGGTGTGTTCATCCTTGATAACAGGTACTGTTGCACACTGGAGATGTCCATCGTGTATTTATTTCATGACTTCTTTCACATTCTTCACAATAGGAAGTAAGCATAAAGGTATCAAAGCTAGTCATAGACCCAAGGCAACCAAAAAACCAAAACAAACCTCTTTTGTTTTCCAGGCTTGTCTGAGACGACAAGAATGCAGAAGAGACCCAAATGAGAAGAATGGAGATCAGTTTGGAGGGCAAGAGACAAATTTTGAGAGATCCCGATTTTCAAGTGGGTCATCTTCCAAACAGGTACTTAGAATGCTGGAAGACATTCTCCTGCTGCCCTGCGCGCACGCGTGTGTGCGTGTGTGCGTACGTGTGCGTTAGTTACTTAGGAAAAAGCCAACACAAAAAGGAGATACCGAAGGATCCTAAGGGTCAGAGCAGAAGAGGCAGGGGCCCGAGCTCCCATTCTGGGTACCATCCTCTGCCACGTGACCCTCCCTCATCTCTCTGGTTCAGCCTTACTCTTCTTTCCTCATAGTCTAACCCATTGCATTGCAAATCCAGTTTTTATTTTAAATGAAGAGAGTAAAATGTAATGCTGCATCACATACTCACTAGCCACTGTTCAAATATTTTTGTCTGGGATGATAATAAATAAAAAGATCAATATAACATAATAGCTACATGAGGATGATGGTGATAACAGAGGTAGTTAGTAGTCACCATTATTTGAGTGCTGGCAATGTTCCAACACTGTGCTAAGTATTTGTACACATTAGCTTATTTAATTTTCTTAATTCTCTATATATTATTTGCCTCATTCTACAGAGGAGAAAACTGAGCATTAGAAAAGTTAGGAAACTTTACCTCAGGTTTTACAGCCAGAATATGGTAGAGTAGATTTTCCTTTCCAGGCAGTCTGAACCCAGAGAGGGTCCTCTGAACCACTGGGCTGTCTGACCATATTGCATGTGTAAGCTCTTATCTGTGTAAGAATTTTACTTATCCTAGGTAAGCTAAATACCACAAGCTGCATTCAACACCCGTTGTCAGCATGGTGAATTGATTTAAGATGAGTAATATGCCTTTTATGAATTCTTATTTAATATTTTATGCCTGAAATTTACTCGCGAGGATGGACTCTCTTTTCTATTGGTGGTATGGATCCCTGAGATAGATCCTGGATACCTGGTATCAATCAAGTTCTTGTTGGGATTTCTTCTCTAATCTAGGATGTTCACACTGCGGTTATTTAATGTTCAAAGGACACCTAAAAACATCAATGATTGATGTTTATGGATGTAACTATATCCCTGGGAGAGATCTATACTGCCTATTAAGGAACATACAATCACACAATAAAATATTCCTTTTACAGTCTGAAGGTAAGAAAGACTATCTCACAATATTGGCAGCACTGAGAAGAACATGTCGCCTGGATCTTTCCTTTACTCAAGTACAACATATGAGTATAATGCCCAATGTGGATTAAACTTAGGGAGTGAAATTAATCCAAAAATTAAATCTTGTTTGGCTAGAACAACACATTTTTGGCATTAAGATAACTTCTCACATTTTTGTACATAGGAACAAAAATCAAAAACAGATATAAAAATGTAATGCAACTTAAGTCAAATAGGAAGCAGGTAGCAATCTTCCTAGATTGGAATTACTAAACAATGGGCAGCTGGGTCCTTCCATTTTCATGCAAAGATCCACGTACGTAGTCATGGCTGTTTTGTATGGCAACGCTCATGCATCTGAGATATTCTAGGACTTGAAGTTTCACACTCCTCTTTACAAACTTATTTGGGGGACAGGCTGGTGACAGATTCCTGTAGTTTTCTTCAGCTCTGGAAGTTATTCTTTCTTTAAGTCATCATTGCAAAACACTCAGACCACATCTAAAAAGGACATGGTTGTACATATAAAAGTGATTATGAAATAAAGACAAAAATAAGTGGGAGAATGCATAAAACTGGCCATTTCTGTTCTAAAATACAAGGACAGGAGTTTTCAGTGTTTGCACTGTGTCACCTCTTGGTATGTCAGAGAACTCAGAACAGCATTACTTACATAATCCCAATTTTTTCCAGATAATGATATCCCAAGGGTTTGGGCCTGGACTGTGCAAGTGCCTTCAAGGTCGTATCTTGTCTGTCAAGAAGAGTGATCAAATCAGAACTTTCCACAGTCAGATTCACCCTTACTTGGCTGCGTGTGTTGCAGATATTCCTTGGGGGACACTAGAGGGTTTGCCTCTGGATACAAAAGCACAGTAGGGGCAGGGGGAGAAAAGATGTCACTGAATGTATCATTTCAGCAGCCATCTGACTTGCGCACTCCGTAACATTGATTCCTTCTGGCTCAATCCTTCAATGTTTCCTTGGTAGGAGTAAAGCCAGAGATCCCGTTAGGAGACTCAAACCAGATCCTGGAAATCCTCAGCCCCCAGGATCATTGGTTGGTTTGGAGAATTCCCTTCCTAGGTGTGAACCCTACTTAAATTTCTATGAAAAGTTGGTGGTTCTTAAAGCTTCATAGTCTGGGCCTGCCCTGTTATATCTTGAATCCTGAGGGAATGAACTTGTCAAAGCTCTTTCTACAGGATTCTCCATAGCAGGGAGGTCCTGGAGCTGGTCTCCCAGAGGAGGCTGTGAATAAGAAAGTTGTCACCTCCCAAAGAGAACCCAGGCCAGGGAGATCCAATTCCAGAGCTCAGTGTATTGAATGTCACATTAGGCACGAGAGTGTAAGAGATCCTTGGTCAAAGAGAAAAGGGCAAGAGAAAGGCACAGCTCAATGAGACGGTGTAAACCTGACCAAAGCCCTCTACACTAGTAGAACACCGCCCTGAGTAATTTCCTTCCAGAGATTTCTGTGGCTGAAAACTCTAAGGAACGTTTTGCCTCTGATTTCTGAAGGCAAGTTCACTCTTTGATTGAGTGCCTAGAGTGAAAGTGGACGGCTTAATCCATGGTCATTTTTCCACTGTGCACTCGGGATGTAAAACATGCCACCAACAAATTTTGACACATATTGCAATTCCTACCACTTGTTTATACCTTACCCCAGTCTTAGGTTGTTCCAATTCTGATGGGCCTGGAATGAGCAAGGCATTTACCATCAAGTAACAGAAGCTGTATCAAGCTATAGTTTCCCCAACACCTGCCTAGAGGTAAGCAGATCCCCAAATGCATAGTCAATGTGGTAGCCACTCCATTATGACATGCCTTCCTCATTACAACCCGTGACTTTAACCTCTGGTTAGGCAGAGGTTGTATTAAACCTAAATCGAAAATAAAGCAATACCCATCCAGCCTGTGCTGAGATGTGCTGTGGAGTGGCACCTCCCAGAGACCCTGTAATGAAGGAGCGGTCCTTCATTACAGCACGAATTCAGGCAAACCAGTCTAAGCACTTCAATTTGCATTGAGGAGATTCTTCTAATTATGCTTATCTCATGGGATCATTATGAGCACGGGTGAGACTCTTAAATGTCACACGAACATCAGAATACATTAGAAATTGCCTTGGTGTCCAACTATTTGGAAATGATGCCCCAACAGGTATCCGTGGAGGAGAAGGTTCTAAGGCTTCTAGAATACCTTCTTTCGCCTCAGCTCAGCCCCCAGGCCAGATTTCTAAAAGCCAACGTAATGTAGAAGCTTAATTTTAGACCTTTCTCAAAGTACATACAACCTTGTGAACTGTTTAATCAGATTAGAATTTAACAGGGAAATAAATAAACATCAGCTCCACATAACCAACTAGAAGCTGGATGATTTAGTAGACTGAAAAACAAAGCGGCCTCTCAATATGAGCAGGAAATCATTTCTCCAGGACAGCTGCTGGCTCTCGAGCTGGCTGTGATTGACAGGGGCACCAGGATGTTTCACGCCATCTAACCTTCACGCAGAAGTGGCAGGAGCCTAGAAAATGACGAAAACGATGAGCCCAAGACCCAGGGGACAGCAGTCTTCTATGAAGGAAGACATCATGGGCCCTTTTCATCTTCCAAGATCCTATACCCTTGCTGGAGGGGACACCGTTTCATATGCACAAACCGCAAGGGCTGAGGGACACATGGGCACTGCGTTTACTTCGTTGGCCAAGAAGGTGGAGACCAGTTCTCAGTTTTTCAAGAGCACCGTTTGCTCTGCTAACAGGAATAGGGTTATTGTCCTCTCACCATCACCAATTAAGTGTTTAGGCTCCAGGTCACCAGGATCCAACCTTGTGAAGGGGCCAGGTCACCTGGGAGCAGCTGCAGCGGGCTCTGTCCCCAGGCCTGGCTCAGCAGGGTGTTGACCACGGTGAGATCACCTGGATCTCCCAGAAAGCCAGGTGAGGTAAAGGGTGAAGGCAGTTCCCAACAGGAACATTTTCATTGTTCTGTCCATCATAATCCACACAAACTTTGGAGGCTAAAATAAAGCCTCTTCAAGTAACCTGCAGTCGCTTTAAAAAGTCAGAACGTCCAGCCCTACATCCAGGCAGCACAGTCTAGAACTGTGCCGTGCAGCACAGTGGCCACTAGCACATGGGGCTCTGTAGCTTTAAATTTAAATGAATTAAAATTTAGAAGTCAGTTGTTTCTTGGTCTCAGCAGCCACATTTCACATGCTCAGCATCCACATGTAGTCCATGGCTGCCATATCGGACCATACTCATATAGACTATTTCCATTGTCACAGCAGAAAGATAAGGGACAGCCCTGCTTCAGATGGTGGTCAAGTCTGAAACACAAACAAGACAAGACCCCACAGGCCAGGAAGGGGTTTTGTTTCCCAGATACTGGCCCTGCATGATCTGCAGTACAATGCTTTGCAACACAATACTGTAGGTCCTGCTGGCTTGATTAGCATTTTGTGTTTTTCTATCACCCGGGTATATTTGCACAATTCCTTTCATTACCTATTTATTCAGCCTATCCTGTCTGTGAAATCTTTAGCTTCTCCTTTTTCAAACAGCTCTTAGGGAGTTGTTCTCCCATTAATCTGTCAATGTCAACCTACCAACGCCCTTGACAGTGTCATGAAAGCAGCCAGGACTTAGCACATGGCATATGCATTTCATGAGTCACACTTTTAATTTTCTCTAACTTGTACTTGTCCACTGTCAAATTCCTGTGGGTCGGGCCTCCCTTCTTTCTGTCCCCAGGCCCCTGTGCAGATGAGACAGGTCACACATGCACACACCGGTTCTGGCTGCCAAAGGGCCCCACCCTGGGAGGGCTGTGAGTCATCTCTAACACCTGGTGTAGTGTTTGTCACAGCCGCCCTCTCGACTCTGGCGCAGAT